TTAAATTTTATTTTTATATTTTTTTACCAAAAAATATAATAAATATATTTTAATTAACAAAAAAATATAATTGGTTGGTTAATAAAATTAAAGTTTATTTTTATATTTTTTTACCAAAGAAATATAATAAATATATTTTAATTTATATTTTAAAGACACTTATTAAATTAACAAAATCTTTTTTTAAAATATTATATTTTAGTTTTATTATTTTTCTAATAATAGATTTTGTTTTAATTAAAAGGAAACAGTGGCAAAAAAAATTAAAGAAAAATAATGAGACAAGAAATTTACTCCTGCCACCAAAAAAAAAAAAGTTAAAGAGAAACAATGCTGTGGAATTTTCCCTCCCTTTTTTAGGCTAGCAGTTTGATTATGTGGCATTACATGGCAACTTACATGGCGCCACGTGATTAGAAACTGAAACTTCCGTCAATGTGGTTAACGGTGTTGTGTGAGGTAGATGAAAAGAAAATAATTTTGAAAGTTAATAGATGAATTTGAAAGAAAATAAAGTATCTAGAATAAAATAAAAAAAATAACAGTTAATAAATAATTTATTAAATAAAACCATTTTTTTCCATATTTAATAACACACCAGATGTCTTAACTTGAAGGAACCAAATATTTTCTTCATAGAGAAAAACGCCGCAAACCCCACAGAACTAAAGAATGAGAGTTTCAAACCGCGTCCTCTTGTTCTTCGCTTCCCTGGTTATCTTCTTCCCAACAATCTCCCTTTCCATACGTACCTTGACTGCGACTAATTCTGCCACTAATGACCAAACCCTCATCTCCTCCGGCGATGTTTTCGAGTTGGGATTCTTCAGTTCCGGAGGTTCAGACAAATGGTTCGTCGGGGTTTGGTACAAGAACATTCCTGAGAAAACCTACGTGTGGGTTGCCAACAGGGACAACCCACTTTCTAACTCCTCCGGAGCTTTCAAGGTTGTAGATCAGAACATTGTTCTTCTGGACCAAAATCAGAAACTGGTCTGGTCATCGAACACAACGAGAGGTATTAACACTGTTGCGGAGCTGTTGGATTCTGGAAACTTGGTCCTGAGAGAAGCAGAGGATCCCAACAACTATCTCTGGCAAAGTTTTGATTTTCCGACCGATACCATCTTGCCGGCCATGAAGCTGGGTTGGGATCTGAACACAGGTTTTGAAAGGTATATATGAATTTTTAATTTTTTTCAGAAATCCAGAATTAAGGTTCTTCCAGCTCAGCTAGGCTATTGTTGATATTTTGACAGGTACTTAACGTCATGGAGAAGCTCAGCAGATCCGTCTTCAGGGGATTTCTCGCTCAAGCTTAATTACCATGGACTTCCGGATATTTTTTTGTGGAACAAGCAACAGATAGAATCCAGAAGTGGACCCTGGAACGGTGAGGGTTTCAGCGGCGCTGCGGGGATGGAACCGCTGGATTATCTCAAGTTGGAACTTGTTACCAATCAAGACGAGGTGACTTACTCATTCTCTGTTACGACCAAGAATCTGTTCACCAGGCTGATCGTGAAGCCCGACGGATTTCTTCAGAGATTAACCTGGATTCCGAACACCAAACAATGGAACCAAATCTGGTATGCACCGAAGGACCAGTGCGACAAATTCCGGAAGTGCGGTCCGTACGGTATCTGCGACACGAATGCATCCCCTGTTTGCAACTGTCCGCGAGGGTTCGAGCCGAAGAACTTGCAGGCGTGGAATTTGAGAGATGGGTCAGATGGGTGTGTGAGGAAGACGAATTTGTCGTGCATGGGAGACAAATTCTTGCACCTGAGAAATGTGAAGCTGCCGGAAACCACCACGGCGTTTGTGGACCGGAGTATGAGTCTTAAGGACTGCGGAGATCAGTGCCTGAGGAATTGTTCTTGCACTGCTTATGCTAACGCCGACATCAGAAATGGTGGCACGGGGTGTGTCATCTGGGCCGGTGAACTTCTGGACATCAGAGAGCACCCTCTCGGCGATCAGAATCTGTTTGTTCGATTGGCTGCTTCTGACCTCGGTAAGTTCTATTTTCTCCTTTCTCTAATTTCTACATTTTTTATAGGTTAAATTGCAATTTTGGCCCCTTGACTTTATAATTTTTAACAAATTTTATCTTTAAATTATTTTAAATACTATTTTGGTCTCTTAACTTGAAAAATGAAAAATTACATAATTTTGATATTTCTGTCACTTTTGTGCCAACGTCGCCGTTAAATCCGTTCAAGATGGCATTTTTGATGACATGGTAATAACACATGAGACAATCAACTTACGTGGAATAAAAACAAGTCAAATTATATTTTCAAATTCCAAGTATAAATTAAAAGTTTTAAAAAAATAAAAAATTAATATATAATTTATTAATTATTTAATTAAATTTATTCACATAACAATAAGATTAAAATTAATGTTTAATTTTATATTTTTTATATAAATTTATTTTTAAAAAATTTATTTAATATTAGAAAATTTGATAATTACACTTATACCCCTATCAACTTTATCTTCGTCCCTCGATCCCCCTTTTTCTCCATTCATGTTCCTCAACACCATCATTCAACTCTTCCTCCCTCTCCCTCTCTTTTCTCTAGCACTTTCTTCCTGCTACATTTTCTGATCTCTTTCTTTTTCTCTTCCTCCTTTCCCTTTTCTCCCTTCCTTTGCTCATTCTTCCTAGATCTAGGTTTGTACAAACCCAAATTTTTACGTTTTGAAGCCTAGAATTCTGGGTTCTTACAAATCTATTCTTCAAACCCGTCCCTTCTACCTTCTCCAATCGTCCATCCCCTTCTTTCATTCTTCCCTCTCCTATGCATGCTCTTTCATTAAACCCAACAAATTTGGATTCATGAACCCCCTCGGGTATGGCTTCGCATGGAACCTAAATGAATTGGCTGGATTCGAACGAACCTGGATATGAGTTTGCGTGTACTTGGATGAATTCGGTGTCACGCCCCAGAACCCGAATCCGAGGCGCGACAGACGCCGTGCACTCGTGAGACGGGTCCCACAAATGCACAAGGGTCAGAACTTACTGAACAAAATCAGTTTTGATACCATAAAATTTCCAATTAAAATCTAACTTACAAGAGCGTGGTGTACATGTATCTAAAATCTATGTCAAATCTCAAGTGGCTAGCCTTTTATCACGTCACTCCCCTTGATTTCCGAGTCTCGAGGCACACTACCTGAAATGGTGGACGAGAAAAACGAAGTGAGATAACTCAGTAAGTAAAATATGGATTGCCCTTAATTAAACTTATAGCATGCCAACAAGTGCAATCACGAAAAATGGATACAGTACGGGCACGAAATATACGTCTCCTCTATAGGTCATGGCCAGCGTTTATAAACCTCCCACTGGCAGGCACACGAGTACTAGTGTATAATCCCCACTAGTAGGGCCACGAGTGAACCGGTTCTATCACGAACATGTCGACATGTGCTAGCGTTTATAAACCTCCCACTAGCGGGCACACGAATAACATGACCATATCGGAGACAAAACAGGCAGAAGTTAACAGGAAAAATCACAATTCACAATTCACAATCACTTTCAGATCATCAGGACAATCACTTAAATTTCAAGTAGGCATGCTCAATTTAAGGAAAAGCATAAAACATTTCACTTCAAATCAGTCATACTTGTGTAAAACGGGTTTAGTCCCGCCACCACTTCAAAAACAAATCAAAACATGCTTTTAAAAACAGTACGGGCATTACCATAAATTTACTTACCTCACTC